TGCACCACCAATTCCCACAGGCGACCCACAGCCGCGTCTTTAGTTTGTTGCACACATAAAATTAGCAGCTAATGCCTGAGTTAAGCTAGCTGGGAACGGAACAATGGGTATCCCTAATTTAATTTTCCATCGGCACCAGCCAGAAAGTAAGTACTCGAAATATGCCAAGAAAGAATGATCTTCGCACCCTGTAAACCCCTTTGCCAGCGACTGGCAGCCACTCGTAATAGTTCTAATGAGGCTAACCAATTTTAAAGCCCTTTTAGGACTAATTGAAGCATAAGTAATGAGGAGCTGTTAACGGAACCGTTGAAAGGGCAGTCAGCCATCGGAAGGGTTGCGCAGGACCAGGACCAGGACCAGGACCACAGCACTGGGTGGAGTCTTAGCCTTGGTCCCTGGTGCCTGCCTTTGGGGGTTGGCTGCAGCGTTATCCAGGGGCACGTGTTTGCACAGGAATCTAATCTCGGCGCAAACAAAGTAACAAGAATTCAATTTGTCACAGTGGTTGGCCGTGTGGGAGTGCAGACTACGACTGGGACTCCTGGATCTGTTGGGGTTTGGTTTGGTCTGTTTGGTCTTTGAACAACACGCGCGGCGGCAAATGAAAAGCCCAGTCTCAAGCCCAGGGATCGAGTATTAGTCCCTTTTTGCCAGAGATAAACCCACTCTTCAGGGATTTTCTCTCTGTGTGTGTGTTGTGCGGGGGTGCAAATATTTGCATTTCGCTTGTTTTTCGGGGTGTTGCGCGTTAGGTAAAAGCCAAAAGCCTCCGGGGACTTGTTAATGCAAACAATGCGCATTTGATATTGCCAGAGAGAATGGTCGGTCTGTAGGCTGTTGGCTGGAGGAGGAGCAGGCTACATGTGTCCTTGGTCCCCCATTTTCGGGGGTGGTTTTCTGCTGGTCTGCTCCTGCTCCTGTAAGGCAAAGGGCAGGAGGCAGTAGGCAGTAGAGGACTAAAGCTCCGTTTCGCTTGCAACCGCACGAACTCCATGCTCCAAACGGAGTCTGGAGGCTGGGGGACTGGAGTCTGTGGCGCTACGCGTTGTTGCATTAATGTGCGTGTGGGCGATTCCCGGAACGGAAGTCGATTTATGTTTTGTGTACCCTCCTTGTCTGTCTGACCCCCTCTCTCTGCCATCTCTTTCTCCGCGCGTGACAACTTTTCGCCTTGTTTCGGCCTTCGTCTGGGTAGGGGGGTCCGGCAAATGGCAAATGTTTTTGGCCGCAGCTGCCAGAAAGCAGCCACCGCATCGCATCACTCGCTTTAAATAAACCCCGCCCCACCCCACCCACAACCATCATGCTCCTCATTCCCCTCGTTCACCATCGGATCAGGCATTGTCATGGTAATGCTGGAAAAACGCTTTAAACTGCCTTCTAATGATGCAGACGACTCGACTGAGTCGAGGACTCGCTCTACTCTCCCGTAATGTCTGTTATCCCTGTTTTAATTTTCCAGCCCCCCCCCCCTCTCCCCCCCATACCCACTAGTGGCAGGGGGTGCGGCGCTGTACTGTCAGTCATTTAATGGCTTACCTTATCTTCAGCTTCCTCGGCGCGTTCTTCCGCTTCGATGACGCGCTGCTCCAGCTCCGTTAACTGCAAAAATGAGGAGAAAGTTGGTTAAATCTCATTGTAGTGGGTAGCAGGAATGGCAGGAAGGGGGAGCTGAGTGCTTAAACATCGGAAATCATGTGAAAATAGCCCGCCACATGCGAATCCTTATGCTGCAGCAGAGATTAGAGAATGTTTAACGGCGTATATGGGTATTTTTAGAGGCACTTATGAGCCATATACACGGTTAGACATTTCTCCTTATCTATCCTGATACTTTAGATATGACATTCGGATAGTTAGAACCTCGCGAAATGCAGGGCAATCCCATTTTAAAGTAAATTCTACATGGTTGCTACGCTTTAAATACATTTTTACTACATGCAATCCACGTATTAAGTACTGAAAGATACAAACATCGACTGTACTCAGCCAAGACATAACCCATTCAGCACGTTCCATCCCATCCATTGATTTCTGTGTTTGGGTCAAACAGCCAATAATGCGGAAATGCTGTCCACACAGTTAAACCAAAGAAAAGATAACAATAAGATGCGTAAGAAATTTTGGCACTCATATTTTTCAGGCCGTCTCTAGAGCTGGCTCCAGGCTCTCTTGAAATGTTGTTCAAAAACCAGAGCCAGCCGCTCTCTTGTATCAAAGACTATACAATAACAAGATGCTGCTTGAGCGACGAAAAACCGGTTCTATGTCGGGGCTCTTATCGCTACGCCTTATAGACAGAGGGAGCGGGCTTTCAAATCTCTTTTCGGCTTTGCTTTGTCTCTGAGCGCGAGCCCGCTGCCCAACGGCTTTGTCTGTGCATGCATATGCATGCATTTCGCACAGTGGGGCCTTTGCCTATTTCAGCTGGCTAAATGAATAAGCGAATAAGAGCTCAATACATTGCTTCACACTGAAACAATTTTCAACTTTAAGTGCTTCTCTGGAAAATTATCTTTTAGATGCGTATTTTTATTTTATCCAAAGCGCTCATAAAATTGTTTGACATGTGCAATCCCTTTTCGGCTGAGTCCCCACTGCGGAACAAACACTATAAACCAGGGGTCGGCACACAGTCTCACACATTTTTTTGGTGCGTTTGTGTGCGAAAACAACAGACACGAAGTCAAATACGTTACTTATTTCTCTGCCGCTGCGAAAGCCGAAGAATTGTGCATAGGGCACACGAATGCTTCTCTGCCGCTGAGGCAAGCGGGCAGAATATGAAGCCGTTTGTGCATAGTCCGAAGCATGTTTCTCTGCAGCGACGTCAGCAGAGCAGATTTTTCTCTGCCGCTACGTCATAAGGCAGAATAACGAAACCACACGAAATCTTTACGCTGTACGTGTGCCGACTGCGCTGCCCGAAATTGTTTCCTATGCACAGTGCATACGACGCTGCCGGCCTCTGGCGTAAAGACTTCGTGCGGTTTTGTTATTCTGCCTGATGACGTAGCGGCAGAGAAAATTCTGCTCTGCTGACGTAGCGGCAGAAAAACATGCTTCGGCCTATGCACAAACGGCTTCATATTCTGCCCGCTTGCCTCAGCGGCAGAGAAGCATTCGTGTGCCCTATGCACAATTCTTCGGCTTTCGCAGCGGCAGAGAAATAAGTAACGTATTTGACTTCGTGTCTGTTGTTTTCGCACACAAACGCACCAAAAAAATGTGTGAGTCTGTGTGCCGACCCCGCTATAAACCTACTTGCTGATTTTTTTATTTATTTTCATTTTACTTATTATATTTTTATTTTTAATATTTTTTTATATTCTTAAAAATCGTAATAGGAAAGTGGAGCTGGAGGATTGTATCCTCTCTCTCTACATGCAATCCACAAGCTCAGCCAAGACACCAACCAACCAACCATCCACTTATTATGAGCTGGGACACACACCAATGATAGAACGAATTTCCCAGTATTTTACCGATTTTCCCGTGTTGAATACGCATTGAGAGCAGCACAGATGGCGCCTGTTGTCCCTTTTCAGGATTCAGGATCCCATCCCATTCAGAAAATCCCACGAACAGCTGTGTACCACACCCAGCCCTCATCCTGGACATTCATCAATCAAGGGACTCAATCATGGGGGGATGGGAGGGGAAATGGGACACAATTTGCGGCTAATAAGGATAATGCGCGGATCGCCGAGACAACGAATGCATGGAAATTCATGGCGCGGGGGCTGGGGCGAAAACACCTGCCCGACAGCACTTGCCAATCATCATAAGCAGCTGCCATGCTCTGCCCCGGCGCACCCCGAAGGATACGCTAATCCTGCGCTTTTAAGCGCTCAATGGCTCTCGGGCCCATTAACAGGAGGCCCGCGAAAGGAGGCACGCGCCCTCCAAGGATCACCATCACCATCAGCATCGCTTGAGGGCGGATGGGGATGTGGATGTGCCGTTTCCATGCCAATTAATCAGCCAAGTGGCGCCCCAAAGCAAAACGCCAGATGGATAGATGGATAGAGAGCTGCCACTTGATTCCCCTGCAAGGCACACAAAAGGAGGGGAGTTCTGTTCCCCCGTCACCCCGCCCCTGCCGTCTGCTGCTCAAGGATTCGATTTTGAATGCCTTAAGTGCATTAATTTCCGCTTTTTAAGCCATTCAAGTGGCCACTCAACGCAGAGAAGGATGGAGCAGCAGCCGGGGGTACTCCATTGATTGATGGCTGTCAAATTGTTGTGCGAAATATGAAGGAGCTCTCCTTCGCGCTGCATAGCAAGGGGAGAGCGGAAGCGGAAGTGTCGGAAGGGATGGCTGCCCTGCCTTAACCTTTGAGTGCCTTTTCCCATTAGCAGTGGACGCTGCTGAAGAACACAGGGAATAGCTAATCCATGCCATCATACTTACATATATTCCCACGGATAATCATGTTTTATTTTCCCTATTTTTAGTGGGATTACCGCTTTGCTTTTGGTTAACTTCCATGGAAGAGGATTCCTCTCACTGTGGTGTATTTTCGCAAATAACATGGATAGGTATTGCTTACATATTCCAGCACATATACCATCCCCCCAAGCACTATTTCTCGACTCTCCAAACGAGTAGAGAACTCGCCATTACATTATTAATTAATATGAATAAGAAATATTCCTGCCGTAAGCCTACACCATATAGAAAATGATTAATAAACGTCTGCCCAGGAACTGTGCTTAGTATAAGCTCAATTTCGTTCTACTCTTCCAGAACTTCTGTCTTTATTGTTTGTCCCACAAAGATTTCCTGCAGAATGTCTACCACCTGCTGCCAATATCTCGCATAGATATTCTGAATAGATTTTCCATGGACTAGACTGGAGTTCAAATGTTCTGCAATCGCTAGAGTGGCTGGCTCAGTGCCTGGCTCGGACACAGCTGCTTTGCATAGGGGCGTCGCTGAGTCAGCTGCCGATAGCTGGCCAGCGGTCGCTATAAAACATGGACGGCACACGGCGGAGCAGCATCAGGTGCTGCCATCGTCAGTGAAGCCTCAGAATGTGCACCAATTTGGTCGACTTGTTCGCCTGCATCAAACCGCAGACGGAGACGGAGACAGAGCCGGAGACAATGCCCGCCGAGACACTCGACGGCCTGGGGAACAGCCATCGGCGTAGCATGCTGGTGGATGACATGGCGGCCTACGATCTCGCCGAGCAGCTGCACCAGGAGATGCTGCGCGAGAAGGAGAAGGAGCAGCAGCGTCTCAGCCTGGGGAGTCGCTCCAAGCGACAGCTGCGTGCCCCCAGGCCCAATCTGCCGCCTGCGAAGCATCTGCCCGCCCCCACCTGCATACGTCCGCTGGCGCGGGAGAAGCGCAACTCCTTCGAGACCCTGGAGCGCTATGAGCTGGTCTTTAGCGTACCCATCGGCTCTGAACACTGCCTTCCCGATCAGTTTTAGTGGGACACGGATTAAAGGCCCGCCAAACGGATAATATTTTGTTGTTGTTTTGTTCTTGTGCGGGTTAAACTTTTTGGGAATGGATTAAGGCGTGGACAAAGTCCTAAGGCTGGGGAAAAACTTACGCATTGGGTGGGTCGTGCGTGCCAAAGTTTGTCCGACCCACTGCCAGTCGTCGTCGTTCATCGATTCTCGCTCCCACTCCCACTTAATTGTAGGCGCTTTCCACCGCCAATTGGCTGAGTTAATTGGTCGGAAGCCCACCTGCTAGTTGCTGGCGGCTTAAAGCAGCCACATTTTGGCTTAATTGTATGGCGTTTCCAACTGGAAAAGGCAGCAGGCGGCAGGGGGAAGAGGTGTCACCCCTTCCCCTTTGGCAGACACTTTGAAAAGAACATTTACAACTTTGAATGGAAACGCGACAAACAATGCGAATCACCTACGAAACAAAACTCAAACACAGAAAACCAGAAACAGCAAATGCAATTTCCCCGCCACGAATGCAATTTTCCCACAATGGGATAGAGCAGGTGGTGCAGGAGGGGTGGCAACACACCCACCCACCATGCGAGCCATGAAGTCATTTACTTTTGGCCATTAGCTAGGGGTTTAGGTGTCGTTCGCCTCGCCTCGCATTGCACAAAACTTTCGCCGCGAATGTAGCATTCTCACAAAAGTTCTCCTCGCTCTCACTCTACCTCTACCTCTCCTCTCCTGCTCTTTGTTTCGCTGTGTGGTGGCAGTGGGAGATCTTGATAGGTTTCAATAGTACTTTCATTCATTTTGGAGTGTTGGAAGTGGTGGGAAGTGGGCGAGAGGTTCCGAGTGGTGTGTTGTCACCCCCCATTGGTTTGCTCTCAGGTTAATGGTTACTCAATTGGGAATCGCTTGAGGTAGATTGCCCTCTGTAACGAGTACTCTTACTCCTACTCCAGCTGCTACTCCCACTCGTTCCCTGCCATTCGGCATGGGTCCATTATCCAATTAAGGACTGGCCTATACCATCATCATCTGCTATTATGTGCCATTTTGGTCAATCTTTTCAGTTCATTCCCATCCAATATGCATGCTATATTCTTTATCCACACTACTCTTTGTGTGCATAAGCTACTCCGTGAGAGGGATGGAAAGAGAGGGATACAAGAGAGGCACTACTTGCACTACGTGGCAGTGGCACATGGCACACAAAATAATTCTAGAAATATTATTTCTAAATGAAAACAAATTCCGCTTTAATTAATAATTGATTTCTTGCATGGATCTCGCATCATCTGCGCTCTAACATATGCACATACATCCATCCCATATACCCCACCGCCCACATGGCTGCCAGTTTATTCCTTAATTTGGCATCCGATTCCGATTTGGATTTGGATTTCTATTCATATATTATTATATACATACATACCGAATTTATTTATTAATTTATTTTAGTTTTTTGTTTGATTTAGATTTGTGGTTGCATTTGAATTTGTTGTCGTCTTATTTAGGGTTCGGTTAGGGGTTCGGTATTCGAGGTTTTTGTGTTTTGTGTTTTGATTGCAAAAAGTTAATTAAAAATTTGTTGTAATTGACTTTTATCGCATTGTTTGCTGTGGAGTTTTGCAGCTTGGTTTCTGCTGTTTCTGTTGTTTGTTCAGGTTTTTTTTTTCTCTCTCTTTTTCTATTGGATATATTTGATTGTGTTTTTGTTGTTGTCATTTTTTTTTCATAGAGAGACTTTTATGGAAAATGTCTGGCCATTATGCCATTTGTTGTCATTTGGTTTTTGCCTTTTGCCCGTAATTGGATTATTGCAAAAGAGTTTTAATTAAGCCATATGAATGGAGCCACGGAATGGAATGGCAGTGGAGCTGCAGTATGGCAGTGTGGCATGTGGCACCTGGTTAGATTATCAGCTCGGGCAGCCGTGGATCATCGTAGCCATCGTCGACCTCCATCTCCAGCTCTTGCACCTGTTCTTCCTCGATGGTGGGCTGGGCGTACCCCAGGGGCGGCTGCACAACCACCGGCTCGGGAAACGGGGGTAGGGCCAGTGTAACGGTCAGAGGTGGTGTCGCATCCATGAAGTCACAGTCGCAGTCGCCGCGGAATCTGCGGCAAGCAAAGAGTTCCAGCAGGAAGCCCATAAACATTATCCCTCAGCAGTGAGTCAGCGTCTCCTCTCTCTTGGGGTCAACCTGTAGCTCCAATGTGGACAGTGGATGGACTGCTGTGCGCTGACTGCCAGCGCAACTTTTAATCCAAATCCACAGCCATGGCGGGTGTCCACAGCACAGCTGTTTCCCCTCCTGTTTTCCACCGTTTTCTGCTGTTTCCGCAGCTGTTTAACGTTGCCCAGATTGCTGCACAAAACCAAACTACTAAATGAATGAATGGATTACGAGCACCCATCCCCGCCCCCAGCCACACACAAATGACAAAATTAATTAAAATTTAAATTAAATATAGCTCGTTGCTCGTTGATTAACGAATGCGATCATGCATTATGCATTATACATTATGCATTATATATATATATATGAATGTCTGTTTATCTATCTGAATATGCATGAATATAATGCACGAGTGAATGCGCACAGCCACTGCCACAGCCACTGCAAGTAATCCACCATCACGGCGGGGTATACAAAATAGATATAGATACAAGTGCTCGCCTGTGAGTGTGCGGTGCATATTCTGCATGCAGAGTGCACATTATAATTACATTTATGGGCTGCCATCAAATTCAATGGCGCTAAAACATTTACATACGCAGAGTAAGGGCGGGGGGAGCCCTGCCACCCAGCCACCCAGCCATTCAGCGATGGGCCAGTGCTGGGCAATTCAATTTGCGCACTTGCAACGCTCCAGGCAACGCAGAACTGATAAAAAGAATCCCCAACAAGGTACAAGTCCCTATCGCGTAGATTAAACATACAGATTTAAAAATTACAAAAAAAATTAAAATATTTAAGCAAACTTATTCCCTATCGAACGACACTCTCCCTTTGTGTTTTGCTCTGTTTCATCTAAGGCCGCCGCTCCATGGAGTATTAATTGCCAAACATTGGGGGGCACTTTTTGTGGGGTGGAATGGAAAGTAGGCCAACTGCCTCTTGCCTCTTACTCTCACAGAACGATGTCAATTGCATGAAGGCCATGCCACAAGCGGTCCGGCCACGCCCCACCTCCCAACCACTCTGCCTGCCACACGCATCATGGCAGCCGCAAGTGTGGGGCGCCTCTTTGCCTTTGGGGCCTTTGGGTCAAGTGGTGTGGCAAAATACAACGAACAACAATCCAAGAATAACCACAAAACACACACACGAAAAATGTAGGCTAACATGGGTTAAGGTGTGTCATTAGCCAGCCACAAAATAAGCGACAGAGGCGACAAGGGGGAGGGGCAACAGCCAACCCCTGACCATTGGACATCCCCCTAAGCGAGCGTTGAATCGCAAATATGGATACACTCGCAACCAAAAGTAGCTGCACTCAACGAGAATAAACTTTAAATAAACTCGGAAATATTTATCTATTATTTTTTGCAACATTTAATCTACTGCCGATTGTTCCTATAAGTGTTCTATATATGCAGCTACAACTGGCAGTGGGAAAACTATTTAAATTTAACCAAGAAAAGCGCATAAGACACCTTGATCCTCCTCTCAACCCCAGGGAGAGAGACACACAGAGAGAAGACGGCTTTCCCAGTGGCTCAGAGGCTTACTAATTATGGTTAATGGGCCAAGGGCGACCCCACAGCACCGCGCACCAGCACCAGCAGCTGCACCTGTCACACCTGAGCCATAACCAGCGCCACCAGCGCTAATTAGAAGCTGCCTTAAGTGCAACAAGCAGGGACCAGGCCATGGCTCCGAGGCAACTTTAAGCTGCTGCAAAACTGCTGCGGGGCTGGCTTAATGTTGCCTCATGCTTGGAGTCAGGGGATGGGGACTGAGACTGGGACTGAGACTGGGGCTTCCACCAAATTGACACAAATTGGCAGGAGGCAAGTACATCATGGCAATCAGATTAGACGACGACGACGACGATGGCGTCTCTCCAGTCGTTGCCAATCTGCGGCTCATCATGTGCGACATTTTGCTTCGGCTCCAGGCCAACATTGAGAGGGGGCGGCAGGGGCATGCCAAAAGGCACGCAACGTTTTTGCAGCTGCTTTCAATCATGACGCACGGATTAGGACTTAGGTTAAAGATTAACAATGGCAAACAGGAGCAGAAAAAGAGCATGAAAGGAGAGCAGGGCAGGAGCAGGGCGAAGGACACGCAGGACACACAAAGAGGGGGATGAGTGGGTTGGGGGTGGGATCAGTCCCTGATGGATGAAATGCAGTGAGACAACGAACAGGAACACGAACGGAACGGTACGAAACGGGATGGGACTGAGACGGAAGTGAAGACAATAAGCCGATTGGCAGCTAGACATGCAACACTGAGAGAATAAGCGGCAGATCAAAGCAATGGGATGGATGGAAGGATAAAGAAAAAAGCTCCAAGAGGAGGCCATTCTGTGAAGGCAAAATTGGTACAAAAAAGATATGGAATTACATGGAAAACAAAGTGGAAATGAAGAGGAAAGATAGAGAAGAAACATATGTATATAGAGAGTAGGGGAATAGTTGCAATAAATTAAATAAATCATTCGAAATTATGGGAAAATTAGTGCAGAAATGGAAAATAAAAACAGAAAATTACATTGAATGCCTAGAGAAAGTAAAAGAAGTAGCGAAAACATTTAAAAATTCAGAGAAATATCCATGGCACAGTGGAATAAAACATATGTTGGAGATTAGTCATAGACAACTTGGAATGAAACAGCGGAATGAGCCAATGGAGTGGAAACCCTCAACTGAAAACCTGTTGAGTGTTGGAAAAGTAATGAAAGGCGCAAGCACCCAAAAAAAAATAACAACAAAAGCAAGAGGAAGGACTAGAGGAAGGACTTGTCGTGGGAGAGCTGTGCGAAATATATCCCAAAGCTATTAGCAGTTGATAGCGTCTCAAGGACTCCGCCATTAGC